AAGGGCTCACTGTGGCTCCTTTAATAAGTCCCAGGGCTATATCTTCTTTGCATTTAGCTCAAACTGCCTCTGCCTTTCTCCAGAACAATGTACCCCTCAGGGTAAGGAAAGCTCCTTATATCAACAGTATGGTACCAAGTAGAAAACAGAGAAAAGTCTTTGTAACGACCTCCACTCCCAAAGAACATCAAAAGGGATGGCAGCTTTTGAGAATTAAGAAGATTTTATAGGTCTGGCCAACTGTGGAGGACCAAAAGAAGATCAAGAAACAGTGATGAGAATTGACTTTCTGGTTCAGAGTAGAGGTCCCTCTAAATCCATACAGAACGCTGCAGACAGGCAAGTGATTTCTTTTTACAGAGGCTCCCTTTGCATGTGAAAAGACCAAGTTCCTCCAAGACATTCAGACATGGGGCCAAGGCAGTGAGGTGCTTCTCAAGGCAACCACATTGCCTTCATGGAAAAACTCCCACCAAAACCATGTTAACACACAGTGCAGAGTTCAGATACTCCCTAAGGAGCCAAAGCAATAGAAATGCAACAGGAAGAGAACTTCCCATGCCTGCCATTACTGAATACCAGAGAAAAATGCAAGCCCACAGGGATATGTTGTCTTTTGTCCTGTCAGTCACAGATGTGACAGCTGGGACCTTCAGAGACTGTCAAAGGAGGAAAACCAAGGCAATCCAAATGCCAAAACTGTCAGCAGCATAATTAATATGTCATGTATGGTCTGCTCAAAAGTGCAGCATCTACTGTACTTACAACAGAAATGCTGCCCAGCTGGTAAATCCTGCATCTTGCAATAATGTCTGTTACTGAAAAAAATTAAGAAAAAACACAAACTGTAGTGTTTAGAAAGACAGAAATCAGTTTGTAGCCCACAGAGGAAGGGCTTCAAGGGCATTGCTTCTCCCACTCCTGAGGCATGTCTCTGGAAATTTGTACCCAGCTGTATTCTTACAGAAGAACATCTGTTTCATATGGGCAAAACATATGAAACAAAAAGGATGGAAGCAAGTTCTTCAGGGAATTCATAAGCCAAGACAGGCTTGGGGATCTCAGCAGATGTGGTGTGCTCCCCGCTAACATGCAAGGACCAGTTTGAGGCAGGTGGCACCATGCATCAGGTAAAAGGGAAAATTTCTCTCCTGCATCTCTGGCAGCATCCTTTGGACAAACTTAAAAATGTGATGTTACAAACAACAGAAAGAAAAACCCCATGATGTGAAAACCAGCCCATACAGAGAGCATTGCCAATTCTCCCCCTGCACAGATAAAATGGCTGTGTGTGGTTAAGTGCAGGGCTGTCCCAGTTAATATAATATACTTGGAGCAACCTAGATGGATGCTCAGGCTGAGAAAAATCTAAGGTTTCATCTGAACAAATGCAGATCTGCAGCCATGACTGACCAAAATGACCAGGCCAAGGACAGCACCTAAATCCACTATTCAAACATACCTGAGCAAACTCACTATCTCATTGCTTGGAAGTACAGTATTGGTGCCATCATGGGCTCTTCCACAGCTATCTCTGACACACAAATCAAGGAAGGCACTGGAAAGGGAAACTCCAGGGTGGGGTCCAGGTGTTACTGTCAGGAACAATGGACCCATAAGGACTGGGTAAAGTCCAAGGAAAAGAAGAGAAAAAGCAAGCATGCAAGAAAGGAACAAGAGAACATCAAAAGTGGTAAGTCTGGTAAAAGAGTAAATTTTTATAGAATGTAACAATTAGCAATGGAGACATACAAAGAAGTTTTATCTATAGACTAATAGAAAATTTAAAATCATAATAAAATAAAGCCAATTTCTGCATAATAAATATATTGTTTCCCCTCTTCTTTCAGATTAAATTAAAATTATGCAAGTTAAGAATATCTTACAAAAAACAAAGAATCTTAGTTTAAAAAATATTTGTGAAGTAAGTTCTCCTTGTTCGTTTCTATTTCTGAACAAGTGATTTGGAAAAATCCCTGTTCAATGATACCACTGGCTCCTCAAAACTAGACGATCTGCAGTCCAGCTCTTGTCTCCACATTACTTTCTTGTCTCACAAACAGAAAAGACCTGACCTGTCGTCAGCCAATTGGTTCCATTAAAGAGTTTGGTCAGGAGTTCCTGTATTAGAACAAAGGGAGAAAAACCAAAGCAGAACAAAGAGGTGAAATGGACACCTTGTACTCCTGATGACAGAAAAGAAGTCTCTGAGTCATGCAGAGTGTTCTCAACACCCCAATCAGATGGAGACAGGATATAGCACTATCTGAACACATGCTCAAAATGCTTTGGAGAGAAAAAGTTATATCCAAACTGCTGCTGTAGGCAGGAAGGTCATGCTGGGATTATAATCAAGTTTGTGAATAAGCACAGAGACATACCACATTTGGCTAGATGCTTTTTTCGTTAAGACTTGCCAGTGGTACAGGGGAAAAAATTGCCCTCATAATGAAAATTATCTCATTTGCAGCTCTGTGATAAGTAGTATTTATCATGAATCTTTGAATCCTCATGCTGCTACTGCAGCTCCTCTGGGATGGCATTAATGTACCATTTCTCTCCATGGCTCCTACTTATCTCAGTCTCTGCTATAAACAGGGTTTTTACCCCTGGCCTGTGAAATTTCTTGAATTATCTAATAAGGGCCAGTTTCAGCCACAATCACAGCAGGTCCAGAATTCTGCCCAAATGTTACAAAAAAATGTGGGTCAACTGTGCTATACACAGCTGTGTGAAGATAAGGGTTTTACTGAAACTTCTTTACAGAGGCGTATAAAAGTTGAGCATAGATTCATCATTTAGTAGAAGCACACTCATCTCATGCAATCAAAATCATCAAAAGGGATTGTACAGAAAGGAGTGTGTATTTTTAAAAAGTTATCTTTAACTAAGGTCTAGCACCAAACACAAAAACGTGAATATTTAAGGAAGTTAGACAGCAGCACATCCTAAAAAACAACAATAATTAGCAGACACTAGCTTATATTTTCAAAGCATTTTACAAAAACATGAATTAATTAAGCCTCACAATACCCTTGTGAGATAGTTAAGTATTATTAGTCCCATTTTAGAGACAGAGAAACAGGCATGAAGAGAATATAACCTGCTCACCACCACACATGTCAAATCCAGGTACAGAACACACATGTGATCAAATCTCTTAAAAGCTTCTGGTCTTTAATTTAAATTGTTTCCTCTCACCCCTTTTAAGACACCTGTCCTTATTTTTGAAAGATACTCACCAAGTGCTATACAAAGAATCACTGAATGGTTTGGGCTGGAAGAAACTCTAAACAACATCCAGTTCCAACATGCCTGCCACAGACTGGGACACCTTCCACTAGACCAGGTTGCTCACGGCTCCATCCAACCTGGCTTTGAACACTTCCAGGGATGAGGCATTCACAGCTTCTCTGGCAAGCTGTTCCAGTGCATCACCACCATCACAGTAAATAATTTCTTCCCAATACCTAATTTAAACCTAGCCTCTTCCAGTTTAAAGCCATTAATCCTTGTAAGAAGTCATAGGAGAGTTGCTCCAGCTGTCTAATAATCTTTTTAGTCTTCCTCTGGACTTGCTCTATTATGCTGGGGGGCACAGAGCTGGACACACTATTCCAGGTGGCCTCACAAGAGCAGAATAGAGGGGGAGAATCACCTCCCTTTACCTGCTGGTCATGCCTCTTTTGATGCAGTCCATGATGCAGCTGGCTTTCTGGAAAAGTAACCCATTCCAGGTACCTCCTGAATTGCTTATGCCCTGCTGTGTTGCCTCTCCAACAGATATGAGGTGGCTGAAGTTCCCCATGATGACTAGGCATTGTGAACACAAGGTTGCTCTTATCTATAGATGGCTTCATCTACTCAGTCTTTCTTCTGTAGCAATACCTTCTGTCACCTGCCCCTGCCTTCTCTTTAATCCTGACCCATAAGATCTTAATGGACTTCTCATCCATCCCTTGATTGAGCTCCGTGCACTCCAGATGGAGCTCCATGCACTCCAACCAATCAATGACATAGGTGACACCTCCTCCTTGCCTCCAGTGCCTATTCTTCCTAAAAGGCCTGCATCCTTCCATTCCAACACTCCAGTCACAGGAGTTATGCCACCCCATCTCTGTAACAGCCCTGCACACATGAGCACACTACTCACGACAAACAAGCAGAATTAGGAAAAACATTTTTTATAAACTCTGTTACTGGAAGCTGTTTAACAAAAGACTGGATGTGGCTATTTCCATACTGCCAGAGTGTCACTTCTCATCAGGCACCTGCCACCAGGAAACTTGCTGAGGCCTATCTGCAATGCTGGGATAGCTCAGAATCTGCAAAAAAATAAGGTTTCTTTGCTTCTTCCATACAAGGAATCTCCCTCTGGCAGGGGGTCTTCTCTAGAAAGAACTCTTATGAATACAACTGGACTGAAAACAAAGAAAGATTTTTATCAAGAAGACGCTCACTGAATCACTAGGTTGGAAGAGACCTTCAAGTCCAACCCATGCCCTAGCACCTCAATGAAACCATAGCACTGAGTGCCACATCCAGTCTTTTTTTAAATGTATCCAGGATGGTGACACCACAACCAGCCCAGGCAAACCATTCCAATACTTTATCACCCTTTCTGTAAAAAACTTTTTCCTAATATCCAACCTATATTTCCCTTGGCGCAGCTTAGGACTGTGACCTCTGGTTCTGTCAGTGCTGCCTGGATAAAGAGACCAACCCCCACGTGACTACAAGCACCTTCCAGAAAGTGGCAGAGAGTGATAAGGTCACCTCTGAGTCTCCTTTTCTCCAGGCTTAACACCCACAGCTCCCTCAGCTGTTCCAAGCCCCTCACCGGCCTTATTGCCTCCTCTGGAAGCACTCAAGTGTCTCAACATCCTTCCCAAACTGAGGGGCCAGAACTGGACCCAGCACTCAAGGTGCAGCCTCACCAGTGCCGAGTATAGGGAAAGAATGACCTCCCTGGTCCTACTGGCCTCAAGGTAAAGCCAAGGGCACAAATGTATGTCAGAAAAATCTAGAAACATTCATCTATTGTGCTTTTGTTGCCTTTCTCTGAACTCACTTTATTATGAGAGATGGTGTGGAGGCACCAGACATCCTGGGAGCCAGAAAATGATTCTTCATAGTCACTCTGAGAAGACAAGCTCCTTTATCATATCACTCTTGCCCTGAACTAGTAAGTGACAGACTAAGATTAAACTTCCAAACCACCTGAAAGTTCAAGTCAATGGATTTAACTCTATAAACTGCAAAATTTAACTTTAACTGGCAAATCTGGCAGATCAATTCCTGCCTTTTTGCAAACCCAGGTCCCATGTGTTAGTGGAGACATAGAAATGAAAACAGTCTTTCCATCTTCAGCTACGTATGTCCATTAGACACTCTCCAGAGTCCGGGAAATTAGTTTCATGACAGCTTGATCTGAAGATCCTCACCATACTTTTGGATCAACTTCACATGGTTATGGTCCACTGACCATTGCTCTGGGAGGTGTTTGGGCTTCATGCTGTCCAAGAAATGCTGCCGCCAGCGTCTTTCCAGCTGCATAAGAGAGCGCAGGCCTCCTTTAGCACAACACTGCACCACCTTCAGTCCATGTGGCACGTAGCTCTCATTGCAGATCCTGCCAGGACACAAGCACAATTTATTTTCACACAAGCCCACTGTCAGAATCCAGATCTGCCTCCAGTGAACAGCAAGACACCAAAGAAACTTTCAGCTGCAGAGTTTAATTACAGACAAAGGGTAAGCTAACCAAGAGGGAGAGTTTGAAGCTTTGCTTCAATGCCAGACTGCTTTCTGGAACACAGTTACACTGTAAAGCTGGTTTCTCTGAATGGAGAAAGTGTTCTCCTTTACAGCAACACTAAAAAAAGCTCTTAAGGTCTTAAGGTCTATTACAAGCTCCTCAGGAGACTGCAAATTCCACAAGGCAAGAATTATGTGAGCCTTCAGAGTGCTGAGCCTATCATTGAATTCTCTGCCTGGATGGTTCTGAGTTACAACACCTGCACTTTGCAAACAACAGTGAGCATAACAAGGAGAAGATACTAATTTCATGCAGAGACTAGACACTTGTTAAGAAAAGGTATTTGGGGAAACTTTGAGTAAGTGAAGAAGAGAAGACTTCCAATATAACTGTCCTTCAGACTCTTTTCCTGATCTGTCCTTCAAAAGAAGTATAAAAATGTTGGAGGAGAAGACGAAGAGCAAAAACAGATGACTGGTGAGGAAGAGAAAGAGAGAAAGAAATAAGAGCTGCAGTTCAGAGAACAGTGGTGGGTTGAGGGGAGATGAGTAAAAACAAAAACGAAAACAGTAAGAAATGCACTATAAACAACTAAGAACCTTACATCCAGCCTACACAGGCTTGCTATACCTGGTTTCCAGAGCAGCTGCTGCCTGGAGCATCTCTGGAGTGACTGTGTCTGTGTTATAGAAGTCCTTGATGCTTTGCAGCAGCTCTGCCCTTCGGGGGTCAGGCAGGCTGTCTGCATTCAGCAGGGCGCGCGCCCCCGAGCGCACTTGCCTGCGCAGAGGGTCCTCCAGGAGACGCACACCTTCCTCGGAGCCGATCGGAGCCCCAAACTCCTGGGCCAGCTGCTGCTTGAGGTGGTTGTCATAGTAATTGGAGATGGCATGGCAGGATGTGCAGAGTAGGAGCACGTCATGTGAGTTGTGGTCCTTCATCTGGATGGGGAAATGTCTTCGGTATTCATGAGGAACAACATTCTTCCTAGAGAAGACAAAACAGACACTCATTGTATTTGTCTGGAGCTGCTGCTCCCCAGTTCTTCCTTTTCCTGCCCCAGAAAGGGTCAGCTAAAACTAAAAGCCCAGGTAAGATTACCAGGACATGTAGTACAGAAAGTGATTGTTTTTATTCTTTTCATTTGTAGTTCTCTCTCCAGATTTTCTACATTTCTCTTTTTTCCTTTCCAAAAATTCATCACTTTCAATTAAAGATTCATACTTTAATAAAAAAAAAAAAAAATCAAGTAATGCACTATGAGAAGTATACTTCTCAAATAATCAGCAGCAGACAAAAAGAAAAAGAGAAAAATCTTCTTTTTGACCTCATGAGCTTCAGGCTCACCTAAACCTTTCAAAAATAAAGGATTAAGTAGTGGAAGGAATAGTACAGCTCTTTTTGGAAGGGTATGCCACCCATCCAGTGTGTATCACCACACTGCTGCCCCCGTCACTCAAACTGCAGCACATACATGTTTCATATGCTTTGATCTCTCCTAGGATCAGTATCTCCTGCCTCTGTAAGAGGAAAGGCTGGTCTCACACAGCCAAACAACTGCAGAGCACTCAAACAGTGTCCCATCCAGGACATGAACAAGCACAATGTTTCAGATCACTAGCCAAGCTTCTGGATGCCAAACTTGATGCAGACCTCAGCCCTGTTTTAGAAGATGCATTTTTCTCCTACCCACCAAACAACTCACCGGATATAGGATTCTCGCTTGCCACAAACAACACAGAGGTTTTCTTTGACTGTCAGATAATAATCAACTTGAGATTCAGGACGTCCTGAAGGCTCAAACCGCAGCTTCACAACAAAAGGGTCTGTGCTAACAAGCTCTAAAAGGATAAAGACAAAGACAAAATATTCAAGGTAAATTGTATTGGAGAGTTAAAATAACAATGCTACAATGTAAGACTCATCCTAGTGAATCCCAAACAGTACTTCCAATAAGAAAGGATATGAAAAAAAAAAATCCATGCTGCGTTAGGAAGAAGAGAGAGGGGAGAGAGAGGGGAGAGAGAGGGGAGAGAGAGGGGAGAAAGCTGCATTTCAAATACCAATAGAAAAACTGGTATGCCTACCTCCAATCCCCTTGTCCAAATACCACTGAGCCTTCTTGCGATCACAAGTGCACAGGGGCTGTCCATCTGGTGCATGCAGGAAACAGTTGTCATACAGCGGAGATTTTCTATGAAACAAGAGCAGTATTACAGCAGCTATAATAGCATGCAAAAAAACCCAGAGCTTTCTATAGCCCTGTGTGTCACACTGTAGGTCAGGCAGCTTCCTCTGAATCACAGGAGACCCCTAAGCACAAACTTGAGGCTGCTGAGACTCCACAGTCTGCTGCTTATGGAAGTAGTACATCTGAAAATTTATCCAGAGTTCATCAACTGACTCTTAAGGTATCTCTGCTCTCCTGCTGCCAACAGAATTCTAATGCTTGAATTCCAGTTTTCAAGAGATGCCATCAATGAAGACAGCATTCAAAAAAATTTAATTAGAAAACAAAAGAGAATTGAAGTCACAAAGGATGATGAGCTAAGAGTAAACTCAAAAAAAACATCAACTTACAGGCAAGGCAATTTCAAGGATCAGCTCCCTAAGCCTGGATTTTAACTTTTTTTATGAAAACTTTCCTGAAATTTTGTGTGAATAGCAATTACTTTATTCACCCAACAGAAATGGTCCAAAAACACTCCTGCAGCACTGAGAACTTAAACACATGAGTTCAGGAGAACAATAAATCTGAGCTGATGCCCTCAAACACAGGTAGTGTGTTTGCTACATCTGTGCCAAACACAGTTTGCCAGCCTTTGGCAGTGACAAGAAGTCCTGTGTGAGCAGTCTCTGGTGGTTTGTGGCAGTGTGTGAAAGGGCTCGGTTTAGCAGAAAACATTTATTTACTCTGCCAACCTTCTTCAAACAAAATTGAAGCGTGGAGCAGACTGGGCTCAGAGAGGACCTGGCAGGAACTGGCCAGACATGCCAAAATACACTGCAGAAAAGTTTCCTTTTCTCTCTACAGTGAGATTGTACAAATTTGTTCTCAGCAGAACTCTACCAGCTAAAAAAAGGTTGATTCATAGACTATCTGCTTGCACTGAGCATCAACAGTTCAACTCAGCCAATGATCATTCCAGTACTTCCCAACTCTAAATGAATAAACATTAAAACTAAACAGTCTTACACAGAAAGAGTGAAAAAGGACTTTTGAAACCACATCCAGCGTTATCACAGACCAGAGACACATTGCAATAAATATTGTAAAAAGCAGTGAGTCTACAGCTCTCTCATGAAGTCAAGCACAGTTAAAAACAAAAAATAAATAAACATATGTGGGGAGATCTTAATTTATCTTGGAATGTAATTTTGTTTAAATTTTAATCCTCCCGTGAGATGCAGTCCTCCTGATTTGTATTACACAGCCTCCAAAAAAACTTTTTAAAAAAATATGAGGGACTCGCTCTGTAGAACATAATACTATTAATCACTACTAATGAAATCAATACTATTGACAACACTAAAATATCTTCATTGCCAATCCAATAAACCTAAAAAGAAGAAAACAAATACAAAAGTGTATTTCTTTCCCAATGATAGTTACATATAATTTTAGTTATGTCCAGTGATAAATTTTATTAGATTGTATCCTAACAAAAGCAAACATACAGATACTCCACATCTTCCACTGCACTGAGCTTAAAGCACCTTTTCCAACTTGTTTTTAATTTAAAAACAACTGAACTCTTGCTAGCAAAAGCTCATAAGAATTTAGGATTCACTCCAAAAAACCACCTGCAAGAATGGTAATCCTGAATCCAGCAACAGTTGCCTCTGCAAGGCCAAAGCAGGACCATTCTCTCGTCTTGCCCCCTGGCCAACCCGGAAGGGCACTGCTTTGCTGCTACCACAGGCTGTTCCTGCCTGTGCCCTCTGGCACCTCACGTAACATGTCTTACCCCTGCTAACCTCAGCTTTTGCCCCTGCCATCTCTGTAGCCATGGTGACATGGGACAGCAAAGGAAAAACAACAGTCCATGAGGCAGATCCTGATGAAAGGACAAGCTCTGTGCAGTTCCCACCTTTTCCTTGGAGAAGACAGGGCACAGCTGTTTGGGCAGCAGAATTACAGAATCATAGAACATGCAGAGTTGGAAGGGATGCCCCAGGATCATCAAGTCCAACTCCTAGCCCTGCTCAGGACACCCAAGACATCAAAGAGTAACACCTGGAAAGCCAACTGCCTCCTGCTAGGACTCTCCTCTCTGACTAATGCTTCCACAGGGGAAGGAAGGAAGGAAGGAAGGGTAAAACTTAAAGACAACACCTCAACTTGCTCATGATCTAAGTAGAGATCTAAGTGCTGCCCCCACTTTCAATACCACCTAGAAGAAAATGAGGAAAACAGGCACAGGATCTGACCCCCATGACTGTTAGGTCCTGTGCTCCCTTTCCTAGCTCATATGATCTACTTTGTTTAATGACTAGAGCATGAAGCAACACTCAGGGTTTTCCACATGCAATGCAAAGAGTAAAATGTACTCATATACTCACCGTGCAGAATATCCCACACCCAGGGGCTTTCTCTTCTGCCTCCGTGGATCTCTCATTTGCTGATTGCCAGAGGGCTGGCCATTCACCCAAGATTTCCGATTCTTTGTCTTCTGAGGGGAACATCCCTCTCCACTCTTCTCCTCTCCTGTGCTGCCACTCTTTCTTCCTCTAAATGGAATATCCACCAAGCCCTGGCATTTACCCCGTGCTTTCTCCCAGGCAGTGACAGAGTTTTCACCTTCAGGTGTAGCAGGGAGGCTGGTAAATCCCAGCAAATGGAAGAACACAGCCACTGAGACCTGGGCATCCCTAGCAGCATAGAGAACCTGCAGAAAAGCACAGAAATGAAGATATTGACAAACAGCAAATACTCCCAACATTATCAGTCTTTAGCACAAGGTACAGAAAACCAGAAGCTGGATTCATTTCCTTTTGAAGTTCACATGAAGTTTTGCCAGTTGAATGCACTTTCATAACAGCACCACATCCCACTACCTTGGGGTAGTGCCCCCAGGAATTGCAAGGGGCTGAAAATATATTAAGGTCAGACATCCTCCTACCCCACCAATCCCTCCTTCATAAAAAGTTCCCTTTTAGCACACTGGCTTAGAGTATTCAGCATGGTTTTTTGTCCTGTCACTCCCTCTGCCGGTCACTGCTTCTGCAGGCATGTGCAGCTTGACTACAGAAACTGGGCAGTCGGGGAAAACTCAGTGCTCTAAAGAAGGTGACCAAGATTTCCAGTGTCTCTCTAATATTGCACCGACTGCTACAGACTGAAGAAAATAATAAAAAGGTGAGGTTTTAGAAATATTTCTTCGAGGGATCCTGCCTCATAGATCTTTCAGGACTAAAGGAAAACAACACTAAAAAAATCCAGGCAGAATAGCAGAAAAATATCTTCATGGAAAAGGAGAGAAATGTAGGCAGTGAGTCTGAAATTAACTTTAGGCCCTGTCACACATAAAGTTTGGAGGTATAATTTGAAAAGGCTCAGATCTCCCTGTTGTAAAGCCTCTTTTGCAACTAAGAACGTTACTTCTCCTCCCAAAACAGTAAGTTGAAGTGGAGAACACACCTGATCTTGTGTCAGTTCTTCTGCTTCCCAGTTGCTGCAACGCACATGAGGAGATTTGTCAAGCGGGAAGTTCAGGACTTTTTCAGCTAAAGACTTAAGGCTAAGGCAGTTGTGAAGTAGATCCTTCCTTCAATTCAACAAAGACAGTGAAACAAATATATTAAAAATGAAACTATACACTCATGCAAATTCAGATGGCCTCATACAGCCTGGACCTGAGAGAACACAATGCACATGATGCATGACTCAAACAGCACACAGCTGCCTGCCAGCTTTACAGGCCCTCTCCCTCCTCTCTACTAAAATGTCCTTTCTAGATTTAGTACTTATCTTCTGTCTGCAATATGCAAAGCAGGCAAGGCTAGGAGTTAGTAACATTTAAGGCTGAAGTGCTTGGCTCTGAATTAGTCCCTTCTGAACTAAAGAAGTCCATCATACAGTGATGGACCACTTGTCTGAGGGATTCATGAGAAGCCCAAGAACCAGAAATGACTTGGAAGAATCCTGGCCACTAGAGACAGGAAGTCCATCCTCAGTGCTCAGAAGGCACCAACAGGTCAGCAAAGCATGGCCCAGATCACTAACACCACACCTAGGCACACATATAATTGTACATGAAGAATATTTACAAGTAAAACATCTTGTTTTAGGAAGAGTGAAAGATAAGAAAATGGCATCACAAGTGTAACCTTTCCATAGAAGAACTGTTATTAAAAGAGAAAATTTGAACTGGTTTATTTAGTAATTTTTCAAGAAATCTTGAAATTCAACAGTTCCACTTACATGCCCTGGGCACATTTAACTCACACTTCTTGACAGTGCATTCTAACATCTGCTGACACAGTGTTCATTCTTACTGCATTACATCACTATGCCTGGCCTTCTTAAAAGCTGAAGCACGGTACACAGAAAAGTCCACAAAGGTATCAGTCTGTGAGAGAAGACTAATGGACACAATTAGCAAATTAAATCCTCATTAAGATTTCATTTCCATTAAGATCACAGAACAGAAGTAGGACATGCTCTTGGGCTGCAGCTGTCAATGCCCATTCTCCAAAGCCACCCTAAGAATTCCAGATATACCAGCCTGATAACATTCAGCTTCTGCAAATCAACTAAGAAATATTTCCAACTCAAATGATGCCTCAAACGGACCTACTTGTGTCTTCAGGCACTTACCGCTGTCTCATGGCTAAATACCGGAGGTCCATGCTCCCTTTGACTGCAAGACCATAATCATGAAGCAATTTGCAAGCATCTTCCCAGCATCCTACCCCAACTTTCAACACAGCACTATCTGCCATGATGTCCAGCAGGGTCTTAGGAAGAGTCTGGCCACTGGCAACAAGCCTGGGCAACCGAACAAGAATGCAGAGGCCACTGGAAGAAGCCATCTGCAACAGGGATACAGGATTTGCTTTTCCCTCCACAGAGATCTGTAATGAAGTAAAAAATGAGAGTCCAGGTTACTGTATTATTAGTAATACTGGAGCTGAAGCAAACTGCAAAAAAGGCCATTGAAAGCAGGAAATACTTACCAGTTTACACGGTCAAGTATTGTTACACGTCTCTAAAACTTCATGGCAAGTTATGTGGTCTTTTTCACAGCATTACTGTGCCCAAGCTACTCTTTGCCACACTCCTACATGAGAATCTATCCCCCTTTCACCCGTCCCCTTAATAGCTGAGCTGGTGGAAGATATCAGAAATATTTTTGACTCCACATCGGCACAAAGCCACCCACTACATAAATGTGTATGGCAAATACATTGTTTAGCTGTGGCTTATACTAATGACTGTGGGGTGAATAAATTTCCATCAAAACAATGGCAAAGCCAGGCTTTATAAATTACTTTAAGCCTGTTTGAGATATCACACATGTAAATGTACAATCAGAAGAGGAATTTTGTTTTCTGGTTGTCCCGGTGAGTTTTATCTACGTATCAGCATTATCCTCCTTTTTGGACTTAACAGTCTTAAGATATTGTTTCTTAAAGATGTAGCTGGATTTAAATAGTGTAAGACCAAGCTACTTCTAGTAAAACACCTTTAAAGAGATATTACACAAAACACATAGTGCTATATTTAGCCATACAATTGTTATTATATCTAGTAAAGTCGATTTATCGCAGGAACTCAGTAAACAAATACATCTGGTTAATTAAAAACTTAGCATAATTTAAATGTAAGAAGAATCAAAATTAGCAGCTGCTTCACTGCCACCACGACAGATTCAATAGTCAGTTCCGTGGTACCCGTTTAAGCAAAGAAATTGCCCCACCTTCAATGATTTCCCCATGCAATTTGCAATCTAAAGGAAGCAGAGGCGCTTCTTGATCACTCACCCATTCACAATCAATTCCAAGAACCGGCCACTTCTCCAGCTCCTTCTTCAGCAATGGTTCAACGTGATCCCACTCCTCCTGCTCTGAAACTATCACTATGTCTGCACCAAGGGTCCTCTCTATCCAGAAAAAGGTGGGAGATCTGAAGAAGGAAAGCACCTTCTTATCCTCTGCCTTAATGAGTTTCTCATCTCCTGACTTTATTGCTGCTTCCTCTTGCTGACTACTACAGCGTGTTTTTCCTTTCCGACGCTGGGTCGCTTTCCACAAAACCAGCCCCCCCAATGCAACACCCAGCAGGGTGGCCAAAGTAATCGTCACGGCTGTTTGCTTGGCCATTTTTTACTGGGCTTTCTCCCCCTTCACCTCATCCTCTCAAAACAGCATTGTGGGATTTCATCATGGCCTGCAGAGAAAAATAAGAAAGGAAGAAATTAAGGACAACTTAATAAAATGTGTTTAGCGATATTAAACACATGCAATGCTATCATAACAAGGTTCTAGTCATAACTTGTAATCTTGACAGAAAAAAGGTCTGGGTCCCACTTTGATAGACTGGGGGCCTGCAGACAGACTGCTGCAGTGATGGACTGGGCAGGAAGAGGAGACTGAATGCTGCTGTTGATCGCACCACTAAAAACTTCAAAGAGAATCCATTAAATTAAACTGGTGCTTCCACAAACTCTGCTATTCCAAAAATAAACTACTCACAGTTATTATCAACACCTTTTAGTTCAGTCTGTAACTAGATCAACCTAAACAAGGCCAAAATGAAATTGCTGCAGAATAAGCATGTCTGTTCATGCATTAGTAAACAACAGGCATTTATTTATCCATTACATTCACATCCATACTAGGGTCAAATGGTCTTCAGGCATTGAAAAGCCCTAAAACAGCAGCATCTTATTTAGCTGTCCCTCTATCATACAGAAGTTAATACCCCTTCAATAAACTGGAATCAATCCTGCTCCTCCATCCCAACCCACCACGTTGTTTCTGAAGGGCTGTCCTTGCGCACAGCTCCCCACAAGGAGAAGTTCGGGTGTCGACGCTACTCCAGCACCGCTGCAGAGCCGCTCCCCGCTCCTGCCCGAGCACCCCCGAAGCAACAGGTCGTTCACTGCCACCCCGTACCCTGAGCGCGAACACCGGGCGCAACGAGCCCGCCCGCAGCGACCTCGGTCCGACAGCCACCACCCCTCTGAGCCGGGGGCGCCTGTGATGCTGTGATCCCCCGCCGGGGCGGGAGAAGCCCCGCTAAGACACCCCGGCCCCGCTCAGCCCCGGCGGCAGCGGCGCGCCAAGGCCCGGGGCGGGCCCGGGACCCGGCCGAGCGCTGCTCCGAGCCGCTGCCAGGCCCGACGGGACGGGGGCGGGCGGGGGCGTCCGCGGCTCCTCTCGGCACCAGGGGGAACGCGCTGCCCGCTTTAGGTTCGGTCGCGGTTATCTACCCCGGGAAGAGGCCCAGACGCCGGGAGCGAGCGTGCGGGCGGCCGCGGGCGCAGCGGAGCGCGCACCGGCGCACCTGCAGCCGCGGCCTCCCCGGGATGCGCGCAGCAGCCGCTCCCCGCGCCGGCCCCGCCGCCCGCCCGCGGCCCCGCCGGGCGCCCACGGATCCGCCCGCTGCCTGCGTCCCGCGGAACGGCTGCGTCCGGCTGCAGGAACGCCCCGCGGGGCAGTCGCCACACACACCGGGAGCCTTAGCGTGGCGGACGCTTCCTCTGTGCCGGCCGTGCGAGTGGGCCGTGGGCGCCGCCATGTTGTACGGCAGCTAGCGGCGCGGCGGCTGTGCCGCTGGGCAAGCGCCGACATGCCTTCAATGGGGCAAAATGCTGGTACGAATACTGAATATCCAGCTCTTTTTAAAGGAGATTTTTGGAGTAAAAAGTGTGGTTTGTTGTCTGCGCCTAGGGAGGGCTTGAGGAGCGAGCCGCAGTGAAGTCACCCACACGCAGAGCACCGGGAACCCCTGGGGCAGGAGGGACCAGATGGAATGGGAAGTAAAGAACAAAGGCAGCCGGGAAAATAAATAGCAAATCGCAGCCACCTCCAAAGTGGCAAGCTGGAAGAAAAAAAGGGAACAAATAAAATGGAGTGTTAAGAAATTAACAGAGGAACATGTCGCTTAATCATGACAAGTGATTGTTGCCCCCGTGCGTGCGGAGAAATGCGAACGTTAGAAGAGTGACACCACAAAATCTGGAGAGTGAGTGTACAGGCAGCTGCTGTATCAGAGTTACTATCATCAAGGTTTGAGGGCATCACTGCTAAAAAGCAAACAAGTTTCCAGCCCAAACTCCATTGCAAATGAGAGGATCTGAACATCCAGTTTCTTCAAATTCCTTTGCATTTCCCAGTATCTGAGATTTTGTGCTGTTAGCTTTCCACCTAGCTGCATGTATTTGAAGTAGAGACTGAACCCATAGAAAATACTGTGTTAAATTAATTTAACAATTTGACAGCTTACATTTTGTTTTGTTATAACTTTGCCACTTGTAGTCATCAGGGTAAGAGGATCTCCCTAGGAGAGATTTGGTATTTAGCAGACACATTGTCCAAAGAGTGCAACAAAGAGGCTGGCATTGGCAAAAATCTTCTATAGAGGCATTTTTTTTTTTAGTCTGTAACTCATCTCTACTCTTCCCCTTCTTTTTTTCTTAACTCAAGAATGAGGTACAGACATCTTGATAGCTCACAAATAAAACAGGTGATTTCCAGAACACTTTTTTGAGCAAATAAGCCCCTCTCCTTATCAGAAAGAAGATGACAAGGCTATTAAAGGTTAAGCAGCTACTTGTTCTAATGACCTGATTTGTGCCAGCATGGTGTGGCCATATCAGGTCTCACTGGTGCTGGGGTAGGATCAGAGTTTTGTTTTCCATTGACTTGCATCTGTATTTTGAATGTACAAATATCTTATACCTTATAGTTACAGCTTCTGTATTATAAGTGTTTCTGCAAAGCCTCTCAGTCTTGCTCTACAGTGACAAGATTTTTATTAATTTTTATATTAATTCATTGAGTTACAAAGCATTGCAATCTCACTGCAGTAACTTGCACCTTGTCTCTCGTTCATTCTCCTCTAGAGGGAAGGTCTGCATCTCCCTTTCAGTCACAGCCTGGCACCAGCTTCTCCATCCATCCCCTGTGCTCCGATGCACCAGACACAACTGACCAGCTGAATTGCAGGTCACTGAGCAGGAGCCAGCACTATTCTGAAGTTTCTCACATGACTTGTGCTCAGAAGAGAGAAAGCATGCTCAGGAGAGAAAGCTGGAGGGATCTGCCAGTACCTGAGTTCTCACAGTCAGATGGACATGTTCTGCCTGTTTTTCTCTCCCTCTCTCTTCCCTTCACACATATCCCTCAAGGTATAGCGCTTTGTTTTGTATGGTCATTGGAATCTAGCGTAAACCTGGATTGTCACTTGGATGGACAGTCCCACATTTCCTGTTGTACCTGTGACTGACTGTTCACTCCCTGCTTCCTTGCTCCAGCACGCACGTATCTGTAGTGTCAGGGTCAGAAAATCATGGAACTGATTCATCTGTAAACTAGTTCAAGGACAAAAGGTAACACCTGGGGACACAACAGACATTTCAAGGCCCAAGTGTTTGGAAAGAGAACCAAGAAGATGATGCAGCAGGGCTCCAGGATCCAGCTGCCCCACTGTGGGGTAGGCAAGGCATCCTTAAGAAAACTCTGTAAGAGCTCAAGATAAGCACAAATACTGAACAAATCTGCAATAATTTATTTTCGTTTTTAAAATAACAGAAGTGTAAAGTTACAATAGAGAAAGTTGCAATAAAATACCCTAATATTTATTACACAGTGAAAGTCTCCCAGCTTTTCTTCAAGTAAGAGGATTCTATCCCTGGTTGCATTTAATGCCTTTATTTTTCATGGCATCACTGATATTACAGAGTCCTGTAAGCTACAAGTCTCTTTAACAGCTTGTCTTATACCTACATAGCCATTTATTCAAGTATAAAGATTAAATTAAAAATAATTGAAAGCAACTGATGCATGAATGCATTCTGGCAAAAAACAAAACCAAAACAAACAAACAAAACCCCCCAAAAAACCCACCCAAAACACAACCAAAACCCAGCAAACAAACAAACAAAAACCAAACAAACCACAGGTTCCCAAAACCTGATAGGGACATTGCTGCTGAAGATGAGAAGATAACCAAGTGAGTAAACACCAACTGCTGGCTTAGCCTTAGTTATAAGCAATCTGTTATAGCAGGTAACTGGAAGCCTTTACATGGTAAACAGCAACATATACATTTCTGTGTCTGTAGCCTGATGTGAGGTCTCTGCAGAGGTCTCTGTCAAAAGACTAATTTTTAGCCTGATTTCCTAAGGAAAGAAGGCTTATGAAATTACTCTATATTACTGTTTCTGCCCCTGGGTCCCATTACTTCCCCCACTTTCCTTGCCAAAAAAGCATGTTTAAACCATTGCTAAATTCCATCTAAATTTGTACAAAGGTAACAAGTGAAATACCAAGCCAAATGGATGAAACAGGTCCTAATAAAGCTGTCACTGATAAAATGGTAAGCATGTGCAGACACTGCTTAGTATACATATGAGAATCCACACAGCACATCAGGACAAATCCATAGGAAACCAGGCTTCACTTGTTCTGCTGATCACAGAAAAAATAATTATTTCTATAATGACATTAGCTCATCCTTTAGGAGGGAGAAGACTAGGGTAAATGAGTCAGTGTTCAAAGGAAAATCAATGATCATGGAATATCAAAGGAGAAAGGCCCAAGTGAACACTTAAATTGCTGGTAGCAGACAATGAGCAGAGAGCTGCATGTAGTCCCTACTAGCTCATTAATAACACTGTCTTTGAGACCTCATCCCAAGCTACAGAAAAAAGCCAAACTCACATTTCAACTCTTAATGTAATTTATCTTCCTTCTGTCATTCCTAATAACACCCTGACTACATATGCAAACAAGCCATTTTGAACAGGGTTTGTTTTAACAGGGTTGGTACCAGGAAAGCAGTAGAGTTTCTTTCCTCAAGAAGTCAGAATGAGAGCAGTTTCAATCAACTGTGAAGCCCCATCCTAAAGATGGAGTCTTACACTGCAACCAGGTGGATTGAAGATTTAGCTTCTGTTGAAAAGGCAATTCTGCTTCACCCTTCTCCCTGTCAATATTCTTTTCCAGCCTCAATTCTGCAAATACTGGTGCCTGCTTGATTCAAGGAATTAAGTGAGCAGAAAGCTAGCACAGCAAAAACCTGGATTTTCTTCTGGTTTAACTCCTTGTACTAATTCATCATACAGCCAGATCTTAGTGAAACTACATCTTAAGCCAAAAGATGAGTCAGTGGTAGCTCACTGAAGGGATCTGACAGAGTTTGCAGGTTTTGCAAAGAATCTGAAAAAAAAACTCAGTTGTAAAATGCCAGATAATCCCACGAGGATGAGTTGCATTAACATCAATCATCATCAATGTATTTCTTCCTTAATTGCCAACTCTTTTCATTGCTTATCTAGAGATATGAATTTCACAATTCCATTTCTTGAAGAGCTGCTTACCTTACCCCAGTTCAGTCCAGAAGGCACTCTGAGTCAGCTTCACCATTTATGGCTGCTAAGAACATGACATCCTCCATCTCCAAAACTCATCTCCAAGCTGGGTACTCCAGACTAGCTTGTGCTGATTTTGGCACTCATTGAAACACTTCCATAAGCCAAATATAACACATGGCAGACAAGCAGGCCCAGTAAGTAGCAGCATCAGCACAAAGAAAGGGACAGAACACAGAGCCACAAAAAAATAAAGCCACTTTTCAGTGGCCAGAAATCATTAGATTGGCTTAGCTGCATGTTAAACCTACATAGCAGAACAGCAAACCCCAAGGGGAGACATTTGAAAAAAAAAAAATCCTTGTTTTTCTTACCTTTCTGGCCCATTAAAGTAAGCAAAAGGAGAGAAACACAGAAGCCACCAAATTTTCATTAGAGGGAATAAATTACACAATACTATTTTTTAAAAAATTATATGGCTAAAATATGATGTAGTCTTCTTGGTTTACTCTTTCTTTCTATTTATCCTTAAAAAAAAAAAGGTATAAATATGCAAATAATTAAAAGCCTTGACTCAGCTCTACTTTCCTAATTACGCATTCACTCTCTCTGACTCACTCTATAGATATCCAACTATCAGTGTCCAAACTTCTCAGTTTCCATTCTGGTTTAACCAAAGCCAATCAAAGGTTGCACAGAACCCCAAAAAGAGTATTTAAATATCATCCTTTCTCACCTGACACAATCAATCATACTTCACTTAAATACTTTTTACCTATTTAAGACTTCCTAGTGTTTGACAGACTCTCAGAGAACTGTATCCTTGGTCTGCTGTTACCCTCCTACATTATCTCAGAGTTAGCTCTGGGGAAAGGAGCAGATCCATAAATCATCTGCAGAAAGATATTAATTTATTTGTATTTCAGATGAGATACCTCCCCCTGTCCAAACTCAAAACAGAGTCTTTCTTCTATGAATGACTAGCAGGAAATTAGAGCTCAGCAGAGCTAGAACTCTTCCCTGAAAGCCCTCTTATTATCTTCTTTGTGAGTATCTGTGGATAGCGTCACCAGTTTATCTGCCACTCAAGCTTGTTTGTCAGCTGTCTGATCTGACTGAAATGACTTTGTAGATCCTAGCACACAGGATATATACTTCCATGTGGCAGCTCCAAAACAGCCCTCCAAAACATCCTTGCTGCTAAGACCCTTGTTTTCTTGCTGATATACAAAGACTGCCCAAATACCTCTCCCTCCAACATTAACCAATACAGCTCCTAACACAACAGCCACGGGAAATGCCAGAGTCTGACAACATAGCAAAGCTGCCTGTAGGCCTCCTATTAATGATCAATACACCTCAGCCATCAAATAGAAACAAGTAATGCAATTTAACTGATTCTCCCAATTCAAATTTGTTCAGAAAAAAATGTTGACGGGATAACTTTGTACCAACAGACAGTAAATCCTGATCAGTTATTGTCAGTCTTTCCAGAGGCAGAACAAAAAGTCTGTGGCATGGGCAGAAGCTAATATGAGAGTAATGTGACACCATCACCATACCTCATCCAGATCAATTTAGTACTGCTGAGACACTGAGCTCTGCACAACCTTGGAATTAACAACTCTGAAACTGCAACCCATTACTCTAACCACATCACTTCTCTATTTTAAGGATTCTCCTAGTTCCCTCTTCGGTATTGCATCAAACATTATTTGCTTACCTTTATTTCCAAGGACATCTACAGCAAGTCACCACTCTGTTCATTATCTCCTATTTCCTTTCCAGTTGACTCCTCCACTCTGTTGCCTACTTGTTGAATTCCAGGCAAAACATTTTTGTGCTTGATTTCATGCTGCTTTTGAGACATGGAGGAGACTATGAACACGCTACAGAATTAAGCAGCTCAAGTTTGGTCTGTGACAATGAGTCTCCGTGAGGGTATAGCACCCCCATGCTAACATGACCCCCAGAACAGCAACTTGATGAAGTTTGATCTGTTTGACTAATTACTGTTGATACATTGATTCCATTGCAAGCTGCAGAATATTCCTGTTAAAGTAGACAAAGATGCTTCACTGATGCTCCTTCAGTATGACTCAGGACAACAGTGTATGTGCTTTGGAGAGATAAAGCACTCTGGCTTTATTAACACAGACACCAGTGATTTTCCAAGGAAGATATTACCTGTATAGGCTATGATAACTTCTTCAGGTGTTATATTCAAAATTAATTCAAAGAAAGGAATCAGTAGAGTGAAAAGAACACTTACCGGTACAGTTTTTTAACCTATATGGTTATGTCATTGAGCAGAACAGATTGACAGTCTGCTATTATTTTTCTTTTAAATTCTGGCTGCTTAAAACTGTGATTTAAAAAACCCCAAATAAACAACCAAACAAACAAAAACCTCAGTTAAATCTTTCTTAAAAGTCCTGGAACTGGGGGCTTAGGAAAGAGTTTTATTGCTATGCAAAACCATTTAAGTACACAGTTTTCCTGGAGACTGGATCCAGAGTGTAGAGAAAAAGGAAATTTTATTATATTGCATATTTATTTCAGTATAGAAACCAAAGATACTCAAAGATATTCAACCTGAACAATACTTTAGGAAAGGGGAAAAAGTGAAATCTTGCTGTATGAGCAACAGCTTCTGATATAATTGTAATGGTGCAGAATGTCTTGGCATGCAAGCAACAAAGTTATAAAATATGATTTTACAGCAATGTCTGAAGCTAAGGTAATAAACACAAACCATGATGGAGAGTCTTTGCCTCTCTATATTGAGGGTGGCTAGACATGTACATTGCAGTAGTTGGCCATCAACAACTGTAATTAGAAACATCCTTATGTACAGTTCAGATAAGAGATCAACTGTTTTGTTTTCACTGCAGTTGTGAAACATTGTTAATTGTTAATGTTAACACTGTTAATGTAACTTCTTGCATTCTTTTTTTATTCCCAACTAGACAAGAGAGATTTTACTTACTTTTCTTATGTGTTAAAATTAAAGGTATAGTGTTGTCAAATAAAAAGCTTGGTCTATGCAGGATTTTGTGCTCTTTCTATAATCTTAACCAAGAAGAAACCCAAAGCACGTAACTGACTTTTTAAAATGAAATAATTTCTGTTTTTATGGAAAAGCAGTCACTGGAATATGGCAGCAGTCTAAGAGTACTCAGTCACATTATCACATCACAGTTTATGTCAGGGAGGGTTTTCTCCCCTTCTTATTTTAAAGTTTCAAGACTCCTAATTCCCACCAGATGCAGTGCTACACAAAAATGGCCAGGATGGTCAGGCTAATTCCTCTCACCTTCTGAAAACTGTATCTTCCCTACTGCCATGGGGAAAGACAGACCTGAAAGTTTCAAGCTGCTAATTTTGTGCACATGCAGCATGCAGTCCAGCTGCAAGGGACTGAGGGTCTGTGCAGCACCTCATGGACATCACTCTTTGAATGACACTCCTGTTGCCTGACATGGCATCAGATGTTACCTGAGAAGTACAGGGTCCTATGAAAGAAAAAAGATATTCTTACTCCAGTAAGGTAAAGTTTGTGGGGTATTGTTAAACAGTGAAGAACAACACAGATCACCTGGTTAGCCAACTGCGTTTTGGGATTTAGTTGACACTGCAGGGTAAGAGAAGTATAGTCATTTGTACTTCGAGCAGTCTTCAAAGGGCTGCAGAAAGGTCTACTTGTGATGGGCAATTCTTCTGTTTTCAGTTGTTCGGGAAGGAGCAGAAGAGAGCAAGCTATGAAACCCATAATAACCATCATAGAGAAAACAACCACAACAATAACAAAAAAACCCAAACCAAATTCTAAAGCCATAATGCTTTGAATTCCCGTAGAAATCACTCAGCATTTACAGAGGACAAGCACCATTGCAAACCTTCCCCGCACTTGAGCTGTTTTCCCCTCATCTTCCCTCCGGTGCGTTGCCGGGCCGTGTCTCCGGAGCGCTCCCTTCCCAATCACCGCTCCGCGGGAGCACCTGCCCGCCGCCCGCGGGGCTGCAGGCGGCACGGGACACTCAGCCGCGCCGGCTGAGCGGCGGCGGGACGCGTCCTCCCGCGGCTCCTCCGAGTGACGGCTGTACCCGTTCCCCGGCAGGTCCTCCGAGCGTCGAACGCGTCCTTCCCCAAAAAGATCCCCGGAGCGGCGAGTGTGGCCGGCCCCCTGCAAGTTCCCGCAGCGGCGGCGGATGTGTCCTTGCCCCAGGAGGTGCTTGGAGAGGCGGACGTGTCCGTCCGTCCCCGGAGTGGCGAACGTTACCGTCCCCCCGCGCCACTCCAGCAGCGAGTTAACCGGCGGCGGCGCCACGCTAGAGCCGGGCCGGGAGGCGCGGGCTGCAGCTGAGGATCAGCTGCTGAGGGAAGCGGGGAGGAGCCAGCGGGATCAGGAAGCGGCGGAGTGTCTAACACCTCTCTGCCATGGCTGGCTAAAGAAAAATCATCATAACCATAACAAGGGGGGAAGCGGGGGAGGGGAGGCGGCGGCGGGGGAAGGGGCGGCGGGGGAAGGAGCGGCGGGGAGCGGCGCAGGCGGCAGCATGAGGAGGAGAGGCAGCCGGGGGGGCAGCATGCGGTCGGTGGTGGGGTTCCTGTCCCAGCGGGGCTTGGAGGGGGACCCCCTGCTCACCCAAGACTTCCAGCGAAGACGCCTGCGGGGCTGCAGGAACCTCTACAAGAAGGACCTCCTGGGCCACTTCGGCTGTGTCAATGCCATTGAATTCTCCAACAATGGAGGCCAGTGGCTGGTCTCAGGTAAAGCGAACGCTCCCGTCCCTCGCCCCCTCCCGCCACCCCCTCCCCAGGAAGCATCTTCCTCCCTGGCCGCCTCCCCTGCGGCCCGGGGGAGGGGAGCCGCGGCAGCGCTGCTCAGAGCCGTTTGCCAAATCCACCGGTGCCCGGGAATGATGTTTTCTCAAGTAGGGATCTAAAATGGTTGACAGGTTTTAAATTCTACTATTATCGGGGGGGAGGGGGGAGCCCTGGTCAAAGTTTTTACGAGAGTGTTTCCCGGGCGCTGGGGGTGGGAGCTAGGGGTGCCCTTTTATTTGATGGCTCGCGTGTCTTTCCTCTTAAAAGAGGATTTTCTTATTTTGAGGGGACGACGGCGGAGAAGAGCAGCCCCGCGGCGCTCATTGTGGGCACCGGGTGACATTTGTCAGCGCCGTGCCCCGGCCGGGGGTCAGCAGTCGCTGCCGGGGGCGGCGGCGGCCCCGAGTTTGGCCGGGGGGGGCTGCAGTACCGCTCGGCATCGGGCGGGAACCGGATCGGTTTAATCGAGGGACTGGTCACTTTGGGGCCACCCCCACCCCATCTTCTTTTGGGGGAGGGGAGTCGGGTTTTGTTTTGTTCCTCCTCCCTCCCGTTGCAGGGCGCGTTTGTGAAAGAGGGGGATATATTTGTGCTGATGGTTTTTGGCTTAAGGTCCCCTCTGTTGCCTGCCCGGGGCTGAGGGAGCCATGGGGGTGGGGGATACTGTCAGGTAGGAGGGAAGCGAGGGCTTGACATCAGCTGCGACACGGAGGACGGGAAAAGGCTCTGCACCCCCAGCCAGGGAGGGGCTGCGGGGCTCGGCGGCCGGCTGGCCGCCTCTCCCCTCCCCAGCGGCGCTTGGCGCAGGTGCTTCTTCCTGCTTCCCCGCCTCCGGGCTCCGAGGGGCGGCAGGGGAAGGAGGCAACTTGAGGCCGGGGCCTGGCCGGGCGCTGCAGGCCGCGGGCTCCTCGGGCGGCTCTTAGCGACAGGCCGGGGAATCGCGGGCCCATCCCGCCCGCGGCGCCCCGGGAGCTCGGGCGCTGAGGGGTCGCGGCGCTCTTCTCCCGCCAAGCCTTCGGACCCCGCGATGCTCTGCGAGGGGCAGAGACCTTCGAGCGGCGGGGAGGGAGCTGCTGCCCCGGAGGGACCGCTCGTACCGCGCCGCCCCGGGCAGGGCAGGGCCGCCGAGCGCGGTGTCCATTGCAGGCCGCGGTCGGGGCGCTGTGTCCCGGCCGCCCCTCGCCCCGGGGGAAGCGGGCTGCAGGGAGCGGCCCCCTTCCGGGGCTCCCCGCGGCTGGCACTGCCGACAGGCCCCTGCCCAGGGGCCGAGCAGCGGCGGGAAAGGCCCGTTCCCTCTCATGTGGGACAGCTGCCCTCTGGGAGATCGCAGAGGTCCTTGGCAGCTTTGTGGAAGAGCGGTCTCGCTTGCCGAGGGGTTGCTGACCTGGGTATTAACACAGGGCCTCGGTTTTGCCCGTTCATCTTGTTAGCAGCGACAGGGGCTACTGAGGAATGTGATGGGGCATGGCTAAGCAGTGTACTGCCTTGCCTTGGTGTCTGGGCAGCGGTGAACTATATCACACAATGGTGTCAGTAATAACTTCAAAGAGCATTCAATAAAAAGTTTTCTGTGACCGGTTACTTTTAAGCAAGGGCAGAATAGAAACCCTGTATAAACATGGAGTGGCAGCTGATACACTGAAACCTTACTAAATTTTGCAGTCTTACCTGCAGAAATTTCAAGCATATTTCCAGTAATTTCTGAACTAAGTGTCCATGAAAGATCTTAGTGTTACTGTTAAGGATTCTTTTATCTTTATGCACATGCAGCTTCTGAGATATGCATCCATTTAGCTTGTGAATATATGTGTATTTAGATACATACATACACATATGTATATAAACATGAGTGTGTATTGGAAGGGAATGCTGATTCACCCATTCTAAAGTTCCCATTTGTACCAGTTGTCATACAGGTTTGTACTGGTCCCTCTCCAATAGAAAGTAGTGATGTATTTTGACCTATAAAGTGCTACAGAGAGCTCAAGTGTATCTGGGTTTGTTTTTGGTTTTTTTTTTGTTATTTTCCATAATAAGTGGTGGAGCACCACTAGTATTTTCTGTTCTTCTTGCTCAAGAAGGCCTCAGGATATACTTTAGGTCTTGCCATATTATCAGTGCACTCACTTATGTTGGCATCCCTTCTTTAGGCATAAGCATAAACAGTCCAAGGCTGGGATGGACTTTTAAGAATTAATTTTGTCCAAACTGCCTGAATCAAGGTAGGTGCAGTGAGAGAATGAAGGCAGAGTTCACATCTAGTGGATATCTAAAAATTGTATGTAAAAGGAAGGCTTTCAAGCAATGTTCACTTTTCAATTTCCTAACTTTTCATAGAGCTTCAGAATGTTCAAAGAGGGTAGGGTTTTCCTCCATATGTAATATTTACATGCTACTGGAGTTCTACCCTCCTAAAAAAAAAATTACATGTGCTAGTAGTGCACAACTTCGGGACAATCAAGAAGAGATCACCTTAAGTCTGACCTTCTACTGATGCCTCGAGAAAATAAAGAGTTCTAATTATGCTAACTTTCTTTTTAAAAGGTTTAATGTTATCCATGACCATAATAGAATGCTTTATGGGCCATAGCAGCAGCAGGCAGGTGCTTTGTGCTTCAGTCAGGAACAAGAAATTCTAAGTCCAAATATTTATGGATACTTTGTTAAATTGCACATCATTATGAGACTAAGCTTCGTTAAAATTATACTCTAAGCACTCCTCTTAAAGGCCATACTCGATCTGAGAAATAGCAACAGCAGGAAGAAAAGCAATGAGGAAAGGTAAAGGAAAGGTGGAAGTGGCCTCTACTCTGAAGTTTTCTAGAAGACTTGCTTCAAAAGATTTCCAAATGCAGATAAAGCCTTAGAATTGGTGGCATGAGGGTCTCTCATCCCTCCAAATAGTCAGCATAGACAAGTAAGGATGTGATGCTGGGTGGTTCTAACTGCATTACAGCTATATGATGAGAGAGAGCACAAGAGAGAGTCAACAGCTATATTGGAGTGCATAAAAAGGCAGAGTGCCAGCAGTCTTTTCAGTTGTTCAGTCTTAAGTAATACATATATTCTTAACCTAGAGAAGTCTGCTTTGGCTGATTGACTTATTAACAACTTAAACCTTGTTAGAGCTGTTTTAAATACAGCTGGTACAGTGCATTCATAGTGGCTATACCAATGCCATTGAAATATTAGCCTGCATCCAAGTTAGTGCTGTTCTCGTCACTTGGCTGGAATGCTTTCCTTGAGTATGTATCCCACTTTTTTTTTTTTTTTTTTTTTTTTTTTTTTTTTAACATAATTTTTTTTTTTTTTTTTTTTTTTTTTTTTTTTTAATGTGTCTCACAGAAGCAAGTCTGTAAGGCTAATGATTACTGTTTCAGTAAACAATTCAAACTGCTTAAACAGGGTTTATATTGCAGTTATAGCTAATTTTCCTGTTAGGATTTTGGAGAGAACTTTGGTGTGGACAAGCCTCAGCAGGCCCTCTGAAAGCATGTTTAGAACTTTTTGGTCTCTTAACTTCTTGAAATCTTGTATTGAAAAGTACATATTTAATAGTATTTTCATTCTTAACCATGTTTCAAAATAAAAGTTGAGGTCCACAGATTGAATTGGGGGCCAGTTTGGAGGTTCTTTCTGTACCTCAACAGTATCACTTTATAGAGGGGAAGAATGGCAGAGATTAGTGTTTTAGCACAGGGGTGCTAGAAGAAGGTACAGACATAAGGACAAGAATTTTTAAAATTTGAAATAATTGGAAGGAGGAGGTGGACACTCAGGAGAAGATGTTGTGTGACAGGCATAAACTACCTATAGAATAACACAAGGGAAGAGGAAAGCTTAACATATAAAAATGTCTAAACGGGTTGAAATTGGTTAAAACTTGCTTCTGGATGGAGTTGAAAGATTCTGTTGGGCAAAACGTGTCTTTGCAACACTTTATGTACTAGACAGTGTTTCTTTCTTTTTTAACAGTTTGAGAAACGTGGAAATTAAAATCATCATGCAATGGTATGCAACCAGCTGCTTCCCTCACGTTTGCCAAACATCTCCTGCAATTTGACTTCTTAAAACTCAGCTTTACTTGATCTGTGTAATAGTCTTACTCACATCCTTAGGTTTGGTGGATATGTTTTCCTGTTTGTTTATCTGTCTTTTTTCATGCCTACTATCTTTTACAAACATGAATATCTTTATCAGAGCCTCCCACTTTTTTTTAAACTGCGTGTTCTAGATAACAAGATAATTTCTGGGAAGTACTGTAATTTTCTCTTGGCTTTTTTTTTTCCTCTTACCAGATAATGCAAAACTTAATTGCTGCTCTAAAATCCTAAATTTCTGCTAAAAAGTATTGGAAATGCATCTGTCATTTAGATTTTACACAAATCTGAAGGGACATGAGCCTAAAACAACGGAATGAGGTGACTTTAGCAAAAGTTGTGGAGTATTACTTACGAATAAGGGGATTGTGTATCAAGTATGTTTTAAGGAGGAATGCTCTGATCTTAGTCTGTTTGTGTCAAGCAGAATTCTGTGTGAGGAGGGATATTAGGTTCAGTTACTACATAATGTTTTAATTAATGTCTGAGAAATTATAAAATTTCTCAGGAAAGATAGGATCAGGCAGCAATAATTTCAGGGGATAGGAGCTGAAGTTCAAGTTAATTAAGATATATTACGTGGGAAAAAATGTCAAGTGTTTTGAGAGGGACAAGTACAACCTAAAGCATGTGAATAAAAATGGTTGACTCTACAAACATGCCATGGAGACTAGCCTATAGTCATATAGAAGAGGATCCAAATGCATAAATATCACAACATAAGTATGATCAGACATGACAAAGCATGTGAAGTAAACTTGCTGTGGTGCTGTTGGGGCCTTAGATGGAGTGCTGTGCTCAGTTTTGAGCACTGTAGTTTGAGAAAGATGTGCCCAAACTGAGAAAATTCAGAAGAGGGCATGAAGAATGATCAGATGTCTAGAAAAATGAAATAGTGAAAGAAAGTGGTCCATTTAGTCTACAGAAAGAACAGTTGAGTAGAAATGCAAGTCCTGAGCTGCATAAAGGTGGTTTTAATTATTATTATTATTATTATGTGAAGTCGTAAACTCTTTTTTTGTCTACTGGGAATAGGATGAAGAAATGGTCTCAAATTATAGGAAGAAATATTTTAGGGTGCTGTTTGATCTTGCACTTTCTCTTCATCCTGTAACTCGTTCACTTATTTATCCTCTTTATTGTTTGCACTGTGGCACTTTCATAATTTAAAGCCTGAAACCGGTATGGATAGAAGCATCTGATCAGGGGGACAGAATAAGTAGGGAGAGTTTGTTTCTCTGTCAGCTGGTTTTCTGTCAGATCAACTTCTTTAATTTACCCTGTGCATGAATGGCCACTGAATCCAATGGAGGGAAAAGTATCAGGAGCACATGGCAAGGGGGAGTGGGATTATATGTAATGTCAAACTGCACCCTCAGGCTTGATATAATAGGGTAGTCTGTCTAACGGCAAGGACAATGAAAAACTGAAATAGGCTGCCTAAGGAGGGTATGAAATGTACCTTAGCAGTGGTTTTTTAAAGAGCAAACTAGAGACAACTTCTGGGAGTAATTCTGACAGAGCCTGGCCTTTTGCTTTTGGCCAAGGCCAACTAAGTGATCAACTTCTTAAAATACCTTTCTGTGATTCAGGCATCTTCTGAAGTAGATACAAGCAATAAGACAAATCTTTCATGTTATGATTTAGGAGTATTGCCCACTTGCCAAGTAGGTTCTTTTAGCAAATGGACCTGGTATATGGGAGATAAAGGGGAATTGTGGTCTTGAGCTTTGTCCACAACCAGCAAGATTAATGCACTTTAAAACTGTAGTTTTTCAGTACTGACTGGTATAATTTTGAAGTGCTCCTGTTAGTACACAGGAGCTCAAGTGTGTTTCATGAGCTATGCAGATACTGTTTGGACTAGATTGACTTTTGGCAAGGGTATGTTCTAGCCCCCTTCAAACTATTTTAGGTCTAAAAGTAATAGATTTCTCTTACTGTGTCTCTTTGGTTTTGAATGTTTCTACAGGTTTGACCCTGCTCCTGTAATGAGCACTGAAGTGCTTGGCTAATTAAATCTTTTAAAATGTGGTTCTTTTCTGAAAAATAATTGTAGAATGGCATTGTGTAGTTCTTAGCTGGGTCACACAAACTTTTACTTTTCAAATCATCTCTCATACAGTCCTAAACAGAATCTGCAAAATAAGGTGAAAGTGAAGCTATTTCCTCATTGTAGATTTCAAACTTACTGTTTCTGACACCATGGATTGAAAAATTACACATTCTCAGTGGATCTTCAATTTCTAGAAAATCCACATGTGGAGCTTTGGTAAGGTATTTGAATATTAAGCCATATACCCACGTTTTCAAGATACGATGAACCTGTTGCTGTTGGTATATGCTCTATATTATTTTAAGAATGTGGCTTCTGCTTCACTTGTAGAATTGATGTACATGCACAATGAATTCACCATAAATTGAGAGTATTTAAATTAATCTGCATTTGCCAATATACTGCACAGAACAAATGCTACAGACCTGAAGTTTCCTATAATTCTCAGACTTGTAACTTATGTTGCATAATGTGTATGCAATTTGTGTCTGATGAATCACAGTTCCTTTTCACAGAGCACAAATATTATATATTCACATTTTCTTTATTTTCTCCCTGTATACCTGCTCATATATATGCATCTCCCTCCTTTCTTCCCTCTTATGGTAGGAGTCAAGTTTGGGTAATGGAGATTGCATTTGCTAGTTTCTGTCATTTCAGACTTGCCTTTTCTTGGGTATTATTTGCCTGTAACTTAACACTGCTTGTTCTCTTGTGCGAGGATGTAGGGATTGCTGAAGTGTCTTGTTTGCCATAAGTCCTCTGTGGCCCAACACACTGCGTAACTTTCTCTTTCTGATGGAACTGGCCTTGAGTCAGAAATATTTCTAGAATAGCTAAATTTGGAATTATAAGGGAACACAATTTCAACACCATAATGTTATTAAACTTTTATGTCTCAGTGAGATAGAGAGGAATAAAACTGAGGAGTGAACAGGTGTAGAAGTTCCCAAAGATAATACGTAGATGGAGGATGGACAGCACTGCGTGAGTGGTGGGAGCATTTAAAAGCTCCTAAGATATGAAATGTGCCACCACCAAAGTTTCATGGAAATCTAGGTGTCTGGGAAAAGGAAGACATTTGTATTCAATAGGAAAAGTAGTTTCCAAGGCAAACAGGCACTAAGGTATAGGAACTTAAAAAATAGAAGGTGTTGGCAACTTTTCACACTATCAAACACTTTTCTGCACAAGTTGCAAATTATCCTACTGCCATGCAGTATGTGTGCTGGGAACGACAGTTATGCTTGTTTTATATAGATATCTTAAGGTTTTTTTTATCTGGAGAGTTGTTGGTGGAAATTATTATGAGTTTACTGTTAAAGTGAGACACCTAGATGGCTGTGCTGTTAGGTAGGAGGATGTGAAGACTTTCTGCAGTGGTTTTGCAAATTGGTTTGCTATGGTAACAAGTAACAATATGCTATTATATTTTGCCCTGTCTTTTATAGAAGGCAATAAATGAAGTCTGATAGAAGCAATGTTGGCATTCACCTGTGTTAAATGTTGATTAAATTGTTTTTCAGGTAGCGATAGCATTATGACATGGTGGTTGGCAGGTTTGGGAAATAGTTACATTCAGTGTGACAGTTACTTCTTAATCTTAACTTGAACAATGTGGTCATATGTTTCGACACTCATATATTTCTATGTGTCCTTATTACAAGCTCATCTGCAATCACTAGAGTGCAAATACAACTTTCTCTCCTATTTCTAGACAGGAAGGAATATAAGTTTCCATCAGTTTAGCTGACCATAAATTACTCTGAGATTTTGGATCCATCACATTTGACTCGTTCTCAGTAGCTATCAAATGCATCACAAATCTTTGTATCATGTACTCTTGTTTGATGTGTGAAGTACAAAATCAGGAGGACGAATGCACAATTTCATGGAGCATGGGTAATCATAAAATGCTGCTGTCCTGTCCATCAAAATGTCATAAAATCTGTTAGGAGACTCAACGGCTGAGAGACTGTTTACTTGTAGGATGTTTGACATAACTCAGTTCAACGGGAAAATTTCTTAATAGCAACATATGATGTGAAAATTCTAAGAAATCTGATCAACAGTAGTAATAAAATCTATTTATGCATTTACCTTTTTTGTAGGTAAACAGCAGGCCAAATAATTTTGGTTTCTTTTTTTTTTTCATTTTGATGTATTTGTCCACTGGATAGCAGCTCAAAACGCTCTGAGTTTAGGCTTTTGCTTGTGCAAAGAATAAGTAAAATATTGTAACTGTAATCAGCATGTTTCTGGTGTCACTTTTCAGTTGTGATGCCATCTTTGTCATTAAAGACAGATACCAAAAATACTTTGAGTCTGACTTGGAGAAACCTTATTCACATTTTGTAGATATTTAAAATTGCTGCTGAGAATGCTGACCAGTGCAATAGTATCTTGATTTTTTTATTTTCCTAATAAATAATAACTTCATGCTGTTAAAGCACAAACAGTTTAATATTTATTTTATATATAACTGTTTGCCATACAGAAAAGGAGGCACTTAGAGCTCTGAACTGGGAACTGCATGTAGGCAAGCAATTAGGAATACAGCAAGATGTAAAGCAAGAGATTTGAACTTCCTTTCTCCAGGTACTCTCTTAGCAGGACCTCACAGAAATGAAGGTCTAGAAACCTGGCATAACTGTGTGTACTGAAGACTTCTGAGTGCTTCAGTAATTTTTTTTTATCTTTTATCAGTCTTGAGCCAACCTATGCTATGAAGGCTTTGCAAAGACTGCTGGAGGATATATAGCTGTCAGTGAAAAGGGGAAAAAGTTCATGTTTTATGAGTAACATAAGCAATGCTGGCAACAGGGAGTTGGTGTAGAAGCATTTTGCTAACATGCGTATGTGAATTTGGCATGTAATTCATCTACCACTTGCCATGGAATTTTACATGGCAGTAAATTTCTGAGTTTCCAGGTTGCTACAGGTTGTCACTATGTGTTGGCAGAATGGCAACTGTTTAATTCCAACTTTTCCTGCAGATTGCTCTGTTGTCATTACATTTAATTGAATACCTGACTGCATGACATCTTAATGTAAATGTGTGTCTGTATATCCAAGAAGGCATACAGTTTTTGTGTTAATTAAGGTTTTATTTTATGAATAGCTGAAGAGTTAAATAGTTTGTCTATAATCAATTTACACATGGCTCAGGCAGTAATGCACATTTCCTTTATTTCCTCTAGGCGGGGATGACCGCCGAGTCTTACTTTGGCATATGGAAGAAGCCATCCACTCAAGAGTCAAACCAGTTCAGCTGAAAGGGGAGCATCACTCTAACATCTTCTGCCTAGCTTTCAACAGTGGCAATACAAAAGTGTTCTCTGGAGGTAAGGAAGGAAGAGTGCCCTGATTTCACATGAATATGTATTGTGAATGCCTTGGAGTAGATGCCATGTGTGCGTGAGATCCTGTCCCACCTGAGACCTGAAAGGTGTTCTTCATCAGCAATTGTAATTTTTTTGGGAACAGGGAATCCTTTAACTAACATAACATTTTCAATTTTGTCACATCTTTTTGCAAACCCTGGTGTAAGCTCATCATGTCATGAACCATCATGAGAATCCTGGGTCCAGTCTGCCTCTACTTGTGCTAAAGACTATGCAAAACATTGTCTTTGTTATTCCCTCTTAACTGTACTAAGAGCAGACCCTGCATTCTCTCTGGCACTCAAGCCTGATGCTTGAAAATCTTTTCTGCTACTGTCTGAGTTCAATGCACCCTCAGATGGCTTATGAAGGACTATTGCCATCTATTGGTGAATGATGTTTTCTTAGATCCTGTTTCAGTTCTTACTGGTAAGCCTCTGCCTTTTAAAACTGTTGGCACATTGGGCTCTAATAACCCTTGATGTTCTCATTTCTTTTTAATATAAATCTACTTTTTAATAGAAAGTTTAATTCGGCCTTAAAACTAAGGTAAGGGAAGTGGATGTATACTTGTTCTGGGGTAATAGATTCTGTAATTTAGGTCTGTTTCACCACTTGATTTTTAAAGTCTTAAGGTAGGCAGGAAAATTCAGTTGAGAAGAAAAAGGCACAAAGGTATCAATGCAGTCAAGTGCCATTTTCTAGTGTACTTCATTTCCACTATCTAACATGGTCACAGAATGGGTGAGAATTTGTATCTTTCATCAGTATGTCCATTAACAAACAGACTTACTTTAGAGTACTATGAGACTCTTGGGTCAAAGCCCTTCATTACCTTTTTGACCCAAGATTTGTGAACTATAAATCAATGCTAGAGATTGATTCTGAGTGCATGTGAGTGGTGGAAGCTTCTTGTCCTTCAGTGTTGTGTTAAAATTATAATATCCCTTAGAAAAAAGACATGACAAATCTTAAGCTTTGTGTCAAATTTCAGTGATGAAAGGATTCAGTTATACTTCTCTAGGGGTGGAATAAACCCCCAGACTGTCAAATAGCGACACCTATCTTCTTATTCTAGGGTCTGCTGTTCGTTTTATGAGAAAAATAGGAACACATACTGTTTCCAAATGAATATATCTGCACAAGTGATTCTGGGGAATTTTGGGCCAGAGTCCCTTTTCCTTTAGTATGAATTCAGACAAATGGAACCTTACATGAATAGTCAAGGAATGAAGTGTGCCAAATCTTGCTTGACCAGCTGGAGTGGTATTTTCTCATGTCCAGCTCAGCCCTCTGTCCATTGGGCTTTGCTGTCAGAGGCTGCTGTTTTCACAGGAAAGGCAGAAGAGTGGCTTGATTGAACCTTGTTACTGAAGTTAACACCTGCAGTTAAAGATTTATAGAATTGATTATAGTGGATTTTTGCTAAGATGCCAGGTTAGATGCACAGAGAAACTGGCCGTTCTCATATCTTCTTCCTTCTCCAGTTTGCATAAAAACACTGTGCCTCTGCCAGAAATTATTTCCATTGTAGGAGTCAGGAACTCTTTCAGCTCCTTTATCAAGATTCAGTAAGCTTATCTGCAAGGGCTGTGAGTCTGATTCTTGGATCCCTTGTAAAGAGCCATGTTGCTGCATGGCCTGGATGTACCATCTGTTTTATCTCTGCTGGTAAAATGGGTCTAGCTATATTTATTCACTCAATGATGTTCTGGGAGATTTTTAAAAAGTCTGAAAGAGTTGTGGGTTCTAAGATCTACTGGTTGTCACACAGTCACCCACACCCACACATGAGTTTAGAGTTGTATTTAAATCACAGAAGTTGGAATACTTAAAAAATAATACTTAAAAAAACCCCAAAACTAAAAATTAGGATATGTAAACTAGCACAAGTCACACAGAACTCAATTTATTCTGTAAATAAATGACTGCCAATGACTAATGACTTAGGATCTGATGACCTTTCTCTAAAGCAACTCTTGATAACAGAGGAGAAGGCATTTTCCACTTCAGTACAAATTGGATTGTATCCAAGGAATTTCAGAGCTCTTTACTTAGAAGGAGCAAGAACCCCCTGTAGCCATTACAAAAATGGAAGGCAGGAACTGAGTGGACAGTGTTTTGCATGTAATCTCTGGAGGAAAAAAATGTTCCAAAGAAGTTCCCATCTCTGAAGAATATTTTTGCCCTTCTCTTTCCACACACACTGAGAGTACAGCAACATTTGAAATGCAAGATCCCTTCCTGGTAAACTGCATGGGCTGCATGGGCTTTTTTTTTTTTTTTCTTTGCACTTAATGTTAGGTATATGAAAAGCTGAAATAAACCTACAGGAAATTGAATTTGTTTTCTTAGTGCTTACATGACAGATAAGGGGTTTGGGCCACCTTAATTGTTCTCCTCTGTATGTGCTCTGTGGTATTTCACACTTAAAAGTTTAAGTGAAGAGAATGGCAAATTCTTCCTGTCTTTCTGATTGTTGTAATTGCAGTTATCAAAAGAAGAGAGATTATAAATGACACAGTTGTGTACACAATTACAACCCAGTTAGTCTCAATGAAGAATTAACTCTCCAGTGTTGAAGTAAAATTGCTCTTAAGTGGGAATTCCTCTCTGGGCTGAACAGTAGTGGTGTTTTCTGCAGCGATGAATCCTTACCAGAAGCATCCAGTTTGTGGTTAGATTTTTGTCACCACTTTCTTCTCCCACACACAGAACAGAGGAAAACAGTGGTTATTCCACTCTCCTTTCATTCTTTCTTTTCCATTTTGGAGCTTGTGATGGAAGGGAATTTGATCCCATGATGACAGGATGCCTGAAACCAGGCAACTGGAATGATTCTTTTGTTCTTACTGGATGGAGACTGAAGAGCCAGGAGCGTCTGCTGGAGGAACTTTTGCCATTGGAGAAACTAGGCTGTGTTTTTCACTGGTAAAATATGTAGTTTTACTAGGTATAAACAGTATGTAATAATATATGTATATGTAATAATATATAGTGGACAGTTCCAAATACAATTAATGATCAAAGGACACTTACACGTAAATTGCTTGTTTATTGTACCATGGAAAAGATGAGCCAATGCAGTAATCTAAGGCTGGCACGATTTTACCAAGAGCCTGGGCAAAGAGCAAATGGTTGTAGAAAATCTCATACCTCAGTAGTCAAAGAGAAACTGACTCATATTTCTCTTTTGAGACAGAATACAACTGAAATATGTGTGGGATAAATGAAAACTGAGTCAATTGAACATATAAGAATGTTCATAACATGAAATGTTGCTCTTTCTGATCCTCTGTCTTTAGTGTGCATTAGGAAAGCTTCACAATTCTACATCACATCTACAAAGATATACAGAGATAAAAATATGACTTTGCAGGCTTTCTGGTTATGTTTTTTTTTTTCTGAATTAAATATAAAAGTGTATGTGTGTCCTTAAATATTTCTAAAGAGGAGGTGTTAAATTTAGGTAATAAAATATTCAGCACAGAGACTAAGAATATAATCTGTTGTTATAGCTTGAAAAATTCTGCATGAGCTATTGGAATTACCTGGTAGATGTAACCCTCTTAGCCCGTGCACATGTGGTTAGTTTCCATTGTGTTCAATTGATATAATCAAAGAAAAGTGACATGATTGTCTGGTTACTTGGTTTGGTTTTTGTTAATACAGAAAAAATTACATTAGCTGCCACATTCACACCTTCTCAATGGCTGCAAAACCCTGAGTGCTGACAGTGTTATATGGCAGTATTTGATCGGGGAGCCATGTGCATTTCATTTATGACATCTCTTTTCACCTTTCACAATCTTTTTATGGAGCATCCTTTGAGCAGGAAGAAAGATGTATTTTCATCCGAGTTTAAAGAGTTCTGCTGCTTCGTAAAGACTATTGTCTTTATTGCAGCTCTCCCAAAACTTAAGTTCAAACTGGTCAAAGAATGATAAGTAGCATATTTAAATAGAATTATTTGTTGAGCAGTAGCAGATGAAACAGGTTGCTGCATTTGGTCATGACTGGCAATATCAAATGGAACTTCTCATATAACTGAGCAGAGGCTAACCACGTAGCAGCTGCGCTGGTCTTCTCTGTTTCAATATTGGTTTTGAAATGGTAATTTTTTTTTTAAGTGGTTTGGTTTTTTTTCACTATAATGATTTCAACCACTGGAACATGGTATTAATTGCTTATATTTCTCTTTTTAGGCAATGATGAGCAAGTTATACTCCATGATGTTGAAAGGTAAATACATTGTGTTTCCACTACTTCAAGAACGCCTTTAATGTCAACTCACTGGAAGCATTTTCTGGTTTAAATCAATAGTTTAGGAGAACAGTGTTTTAATACTGAAATTTGATTTTGTTTTATCTAAATTTATAACTGGGATGAAGTATTTCCTATCACCCCATTTTCTTTTTCAGCACTTGGGTTCTGTATTATTTTGACCTCAGGAAAGAGAATGGTTATTAAATATATATGCCCTCCTGCAGACAGCACAGTAGATTCTGAGTAGATTATTCTGGCACATAAACAAATGTTGGCACATACAGACTTCTTGTTTTTCAACAGTCTCACCTGACATGTGTTTAAGATAGGTAGTGCTTGGCCTACGTGACTTAATTTTCAAACTTTGGATGCAGCTGCCTGATTCTCCAGGTTAACATGAAGAATATTGCTTTTCATGCTTGCTTTCTACTAAAACTGCAAAATAGTTGGGAATTGGGCTTTGTTGTGCTACATCAAGATTAGTCAAAGTATAATTAATACAGTAGTGGTAATATATTGAATTGGTCTTGTCTAGACATCATGTCTACTGAGCTTACTGCTTTTGAAGTAAAAAAACTTTAGAATTTTAATCTGTGCTAATAACACCTACAGATTTAAGGGCTGACCATTCATTTAACATGAACTCAAGAAAATAAAGAAAAAGCAGGAAGAGATATATGTAAGAATTGAGAAATATAAAACCTTACATTTCTTTGAGTTTCCTGAATAACATAATGTGGTTGTATTTCTTGGTGTGTTTGTCCAAAGCCTTTTGCATTGAATTGTTCAGTGTATATCTGCCTTCCAACATACCTTATATCCACTTCTTGCACAAATCTTACATGTAAGCTGGGCAAAAGTTAACTTTGTCTTCTGTTCCTGCTCTGATGGTTTCTCAGGAATATCGTGTTGTTTACTGTTTGGGGTAGGGAGTTTTTTGTGGTTTTTGTTTTGTTTTTTGTTGTTGTTGTTTTTAACATTTTAGGACTTTTTGGAGGGGCATTTTGTTTGGAGTTTTTTTTGGGGGGATGTATGTTTGGTTTGGGGAGAATTTTTTGTTCAGCATTCTGTTTTTCTTGTTTTAATTAAATGTGGAAATGTCAGTTTTAGAAGCTGGTGTTTATTGCATTCAGACTTTTTAAGATTCTACAGTATCTTTGTAATTTTTACTTTTCTATATCATACATTTTTTCCTGCTGTGTCTTGTTCAGATGTTTTGCACATCTTTTTGGTATGTGCATATTTCTAATGTTCTTTTGTTATCAGGTTTTTATTTTTTAAAATATGCTAATTCTGGTTGTAATCCATACAGAATTCCTTCCTCTAAGGCTATTTTGTATGATCTAAAAGAAACCTTAGTAGACCAAATTCTGATTGATTCCTATGGAAAGTTAATATCTTTTTAATGATAACACTTGGTCTGTCAACTGCTTTTTTGTAACTTTAAATGGCTTTTTCAGTTACTGCTTTTCCCCCCCTTTTTTATTAATGATGCCTGAGACAGAGTTAGTAGATCTGCCACTAAGCATCATTTGTCATGTGAGCAAAATGCTGGTTTTATGTGGGATCTCTTTGGTGCTGCTTCCATGAGATAGAGGAATCGTGTATCTAAAGTTTCTCCCCCTAAAGCAATAAAGGGGCTTTTAAAAGCAATAAAGGGGCTTTTAAAAAGAAATAAAGTAGTCCCAGTATCTTCTGATTTAGTATTTCAGTTTTTTACCTCTCCATACCACTATTCCAGCTTTTTAGATGATCTAAAACACTGGAAAAAGAATGAAGAATGTACTTTTTTTTATAGGTGTGAAACAGCTGAAATACAGATATACTTTTGGGGGAATTATTTTTAGTTTGTTTGTTTTTCGCTGTTCTTTCTACATGGAAAAATATAGGTCTGGTCTATCCTGAAAAGCAAAGAAGACTTAAAAAGCCATCTGGAAAGTTGTTCTTATATGAGCTTCAATTGAACTTTTGGACAAAACAGAAACCTGTATTAAAGAATGAACTTCTGTCTTGTTTTCCTTTTTACATTAAGTAGTAAAAATTTACTCCAGAGGTCCCAAGGCTTCTTTCCCTTTCCTATTACATCCTCCCAAACTTAAATCTAATGCATGATGTGTTCCATAGCATCTTGCAGTAGCTGAAGTTTTTAATGCTTGGGTTTCATTTTGAGATTTTTATTTCCTCATAGTATGAAGTCACTGTACCTGGGTATTTTGTTTGTTTTTTACTCTAATTAAACATGAGGGTCTTCTTATGAAATTACAGAAACTTTGTCACCAAGTATTACTAGGTAGATAAAGCAGTAAATATTTTGCTTTATAAAACAATAGCAAAAGAAGGAAGAATGATAATGTTGTGTCTCTTTTCCAGCACCGAGACCTTGGATGTGTTTGCCCATGAAGATGCAGTGTATGGCCTTTCAGTGAGCCCAGTAAATGACAACATCTTTGCTAGTTCATCAGATGATGGCCGGGTTCTGATTTGGGACATCCGAGAGTCTTCCCATGGAGGTAAGATCTCTAAAAGGAAAATATAATTGATTTAGGAAGAATTCATGCCAGGCAAGGAAGAGAAAAATTATGTTTATCTGGGACAGTTGATACAGTAAGTCTTGGAGAAGGGTGAAAGTGAGGCATAATTATTTTGGCCAGTGATTGGCAAGATATGGTCCTTACAGTTCTGTTACTGTCTTAAATGACTACTCATAATTTTTATTATAGATGGTGTTGAGCTGCTACCTTCAGAAACATGTTCATACTCCAGTGTATAAGAGCTACAACTGTGAATGAGCATAAGTAACAATAGAAAAGTAATCCCCCTACTTTTCATTAAAATGATGTCATGTCTCATTAGTTTAGCTCCTGTAATCTCTCCTTGACAGGCTGAAAGGCATCTTTTGGTATCTTAGAAGAAAACAGTGGTGCCAATCTATTTATAATAAAGGTATAAAGGAAAGCACCAGTAATGAGTGACTGATGAGTGAATGATTTGGCTAAGGAAATATACACAAATTTAAAGTTTATTTTAAAACCCAGCTCCTTTGTTTGGCAATCTGATGTTTGTCTCTCCACTCAGCTGATGCAGGCCTTTGCTTCTCAGTGGAGGCTGCCATCTTAACAACACAGCCTTTTATGTCCCAGCAGGATTTTGATTTGATGATGCAAACACAGAAGGTCAGTTTTGGTGTTAAACTTTATTTGGAGCTGCTGGCAGACAGGCAGCAATTTCTAAAGCCTTTAGGCAGACTAGCAGAACAAAAGTTGGCTCTTTTCTTGTTTTTATTTTTGACTCTTATGACAATGAATACACCATGGAGCTTCATCTGTGGTCAGAGACCTTTGTTTTCATCACTGCTAAAGAAACATTAAAAATTAAGATCTTTGATGCAAAAACTTGTAATAGAGCACGGGAGGAGGGTATAGACAAGACAAGTAAATGTTAATTCTGTCTCATTTGCTTGATAGGCAGTGGTTTCATAAGGTATTGGGAACTTGGGAGGGTTGCCTGCTTAACCATGTTTTATATGTGGGAATGGGGGAATGAGGAAAGAAAATTAGATATCTTTGGAGGTGCTTGTGGGGCTACAGGTGCTGCACTCAGTGGCTCGGATAGGGGCGATAACTTTCTCCTTAGCATGTGAGTAGCACAGGAGTTGCACCAAAGCAAACAGTGAATGGGAAAGTCTGGCCAAATACCTGGCTCAAAATAGAGATTGATTTTGGTTTCTTAGTTGATTGAAAGAGTGTGGCTGCATGCCACAAAAGATACAAACAAGGAAGAGAATTAGACTGTGCCTAAAACTGTAAAGCTCACAGAAGCAGAGAGAAGGTAACAGAGTCAAGGCTTTTCCCCACTCTTCATGGAGACAGTATTTTGATGGAATAAATAAGGTAGAGTAGTAGTCCAAACACAGTATTATGAGAGGGAGAGTCTGAATGAGCATGTTTTCTACTATGTGTGTGAACAGCAAGAGCTAACTGTTAACATTTTTTTTATCCAAGAGGTACACCCTTCTTGTCTGCTAGTACAGCACTTAAGAGGTGGTAGGCTTCTTTTCTCAGGGTTAGAAGCTTGCTTTGAGCTGAGTTTCATACAAACATATTTCATTTCTTGTAATATTATTCTCCCTTAGAAGCAATTGCTGCTACATTTATGGTTTGGGTAATCAGCAGTGGCTGTGGAAGCTCTCGGGCCTATATTACTAGGAAGCTTTCAAAAACCCCTTCATGTTTAGTCGTTATCAGATGAGCATTTGGTCATGGACCTTAAAAAGATTCAAGTATTTGATCTTTGAATAGCTAGTTTTAAACTCTGATAACCTTCCATAAAGAAAAGGGTGTCTTGAAATTCAGTATGTGTCCTTTTCCATATTTAGACAGAATTAATGTACACGTGGGTGGATTTTAAAATTTCAGGTTTTATATTGCTTTGGATGTGTCAGTTTGAGAAGTGGTTTGAACATGTCTCCGTATCTTCAGATCTTGTTATGCTGGTTCCATATTCAGCTGCCAAATTCCTTGCATCAAACAGTTGAATGCCATGTTTGTTCTTATGTCTGAAATTTCAACTTTTTCAACAGAGCCCTTCTGCTTGGCACACTATCCATCAGCCTTTCACAGTGTGATGTTTAATCCAGTAGAACCCAGATTACTGGCTACTGCCAACTCTAAGGAAGGTGTGGGACTCTGGGATATTCGTAAACCTCAGAGGTATGATCTGGCTGTCCTTGTTTTATGCTGTGTTGTTTCTTTCCCTTGGGAGGTGATGGCATGCTGATTGGTTGTTTTATTTTTTCAATTTAAGTCAATATATATGGACTTTTTAATTAAGTCAGTATATATGGTAGTAAGAAGAGATGCAGAACAAAATTAATAGCAGTGTTGTTAATAAATTATTTTGCATAATTAATATTATTCTTCATACTTATGATCTAATTTGATTTAAAGGTTAGATCGTCAGTGTTAAGGTAAGTGATTTTTAGGGTAAGTTAAGGCTCCAAAGCCTGCCTGGCCTCATCACTGCAGATTGCTCTGTCAAGTTCTCATCATTACATTTAGCACTGTCTTGGTACTACTGGAAGAAGCTGTGGTGGGCACTGCCTGGTTTACAATTTTTTTTTCCTGCCCAGTTCAGTTTTTAGTGGCTGACTAAAGAGTGTGGTCAAGGCAGCTTTTTACTTAGTGGTTATGAGTTTGACATGGCTTCCTGAGTGATACACACATCTGTATAATCATTTGGCTGTATAATGTGCTTCCAGATTTGCATAGAGTTAAAAATAAGTTCAAAAAATTAGGTTGCAGCTTGAAATATGGTTAGACTGGGTTCTAAAGTGGATGTATGCAATATCTGGTACCAGACTTTGGCATGTGTGAGAGACTAAGCTTTTTCAGTCTTTCAGATTTCAAATGCTCATTTTTCCATCATAAAAATCTGGGTGGGTTAAAGCCTGGTTGCATGCCAGCTGTAACATAAATGAATGCAGGTCTGCTTTCAGCTACCATTTTTCTGGGACAGCCATTAGCTCTCCTCCTTTGCTTGATCAGAGATGGATCCAAAACATGGTGAGAAGGGTGTATGCTTGCCTTAGGAAAAGAAAAATGGCTCTAAAGCACTCTGCTGCCACTGCAGATTTTTTCCCCATGGAACTCTCAAGAAAGAGGACTCTTCAGAATGATATGTGTCCTGCTAGTGGGCTGCCAAAGTCAAAATCTCTCATATTTAAATAAATTACACTGGATTTGTAGTCTATTTAAAGTAACAGAGCATTTGACAAAACTTCTACTTGTCTCTGTAGATTTAATTTTGCTAATCTAGAAATCTGGAACTTGTTTTTTAATGTATTTGTGGCCAATCCGCTTTGTCATATGAAGAAAAAAAAAAATTAGATCAGTAAAGATACAATCCTCACTCTGGTGAGAAAGTGGAAGCCAGAATTTACACATATATACGTGTATTTCAGTTTGTCTCTTCTGGGGAAAATACACTTAATTATCAGGGGATAAAAATAGTTCTTGTTAAAGTAATCCACATAATGCTTTAAGCACTTCTGGTAAACTTCATAAAACTGAAGTTGGTACGTGTGGGAGTTTGTGAATATTTTCCATATTCTTATTAATAATAAAGGATGCTGTAGTTGCAGGTAAGATGTGCCAAAAGCACTTTGGTTGCTGAGTTTTATAGGCAGAATGGGTTGAAGAGCCCTGAAATTCTCCATAATCTAGGGATAAACAGGAGGCTGCCTGTGTAAGCATGCCACTAGCACAGCAAAGGAAGGCTACTGCATGAGATGCTTTCCTCATTGTCGAAAATGTCTGCTAAGGGTGAAAATTCTTGCTCCCTTTGTTTGTAGTTTTCTTTTATACTGTCTTTGGTATCCAAGAGAGTGTATTATTTTCTGAACTGTAGGAAAGGTGAAGGAATAGAGGTTTTTGAGGGACGTGATTTAGAAGTATTTGTTTGATTGTTGAATCCTTGCTGGAATTGTTGAATAGCATAATGTATAAATAACGACAGTTAAAAAATTGCTAGATCTGTCTTTTTCTTCCCTAGTCTACATTTTTATTTACATTGCTGCACATGACATTCATCTGTGAGGGATTTTTATGCCTTAAGCCATCAAGGGAAATTCCTCCTTTCCTTCAGTATTGATGTAGTCCATCATAACACTGAGGCCACTGTGGAAGTTTTTCACTCCTATCATTCCACCTGTGGTGCCAGTAGAAAGTATATTAGTTCAACTTCAGCTGCTTTGTCACATTGTGTGGTACTGTGGTTTTGATGAGAGGTTGAATGGGTAGAAAGAAGAGGAAGAAGTGTAGATACTTTTAAATGTTTACTGTGGGTTGCCAAAATTTTAACTTCCGGTGGGTTAAGATGGACCACAGCACTCTTCCAATACGGGACATGGGAAATGGTTACATGTAGTTAATAATTTGCTGCTGGTATAACACTTCCTGTAAAACTCATTTCCCCAGCTACTGTCTGTTCTCAGAGGCAGAGGTAGATGATGCAGGCGCTACTTTTTGCTTCATAACTGGAGGCTGCTTTGGGGAATCTTGCTGCTTGTCTGCAAAATCCAGCAAGTGAGAAGCTTGGAATTCCAAAGACTAGCTGTTTGTGGCCAGTAGCAGTACTGTAGTTTACAATACCTTCACATAACACATATTGCAGCCAACAGCACTGTCTGTTGAGACTTTTTACAGATATAGGTGAGGTTTGACAAAACTTCACAGGAATGGGCTGGCCTTTACTCATTTGAAGGGGATCAGGCTTGATGCTGAATTTCTGGTTTTAATCAGCTCCTCAGAGGAAATACAGGTTTTTTTGGGATGCTGTTCAGCTTGATAATGGACTATGAGAAAAGGGGAGATCTGCTGTTAACTTCTAAACTTCTATGTCAGTCAGTGGAATATGGCTAATCATGTAGTTTTAAACTAATACCTCTACATTTTCAAAACATTTAATAGAGCAGTGATGTCCTTGTAGGTTAAAGAATTCAGATATAGATTCAATTGCTTGACAGAAACAAATGAGCTGTATCTACTTACTTATCCAGAAAATCTGAGGAGTTTTACAGCAGTATATTTTTCTCCAAAATACATGGCTCTTCTCCAATTGAGTTATGGGAGAATTTGCCTCAGCTTGCTGTTGTATGCCTCCAGCCAGGAAAGTCAGTTTTGTCCACTTCTTTAATCAGGCAGCACGCCTAAAAATTTTAAATTGAATACTTCTAGGGCTAGGAAAGAAGTCCTGATTATGAGTAGATTTTATTAGTTTACTGTGGAATTGGTTAACTTCCTAATAGGAAGCTGGGAGTGCTTTATGCTTGGCTGCTACAGTGAAGGAGGTGATTGAAAAGCCAGCATTTCTTGGCATGCATGTAGAAATTTAGAGACAGTTGCACAGCTCTGAATTGTGGAAAGTTTAGCTCACTTCAAATAATCATAATTTGATTAGTCTTGCTGACTGAGTCAGGATATAGGAGCAGATTCATTTTGCTTTTTCCCAAAGTTCATTCACAGCTTGATATCTCTACTGCCTCAGATTTAGTGCAGCAATTGAGATTCTGTCCTTCGACCCCAGTATACTAATAAGATCTGGATGTGGTGGGTTGGCTCCTCAAAAATAGCATATGAAGTGCTTTAAATATAGAACTAATATAATTCTACGATTATAAGCTGACTACTGAGTCTGGAAATCTTATTTTTCTATTTTTAGAATGTGTAAGTATTTCTATTCCTTCAGGTGGCTGTTAAACTGAAACCATCTGTGTTGTTTCTTTTTAAAAAGAGTGCATTGAAAAACTTTAAATGTGGTTTTGATTGAGGAGGCTGCTGTAAGGCATTCACACCACTAGATGGGGTCTGGAAGCTGTGCCTTTTTAAAAGAAAGTTCAAAAAGGGACATCTGTGCCTCTTAAACTATTTACAATAAAATATGTATTACAAATATTGTTATAGAATTACTGGGGCAACTCAGCAAGTACCTCTCTCAAGCAAAGAATATGTAACTTCAGCTGTTGTTAGATACTCATGTTCTCCCTTCTCTTTCCACACAGCTCCATGACCATCTCCTTCTTTTTACTGAAATAAAAAGACTGCTTTTTCTCTTAAGAAAATATTATCATTGTCCCCTTAATGCTTTCTTTTCCTACGTTCACTCTGATCCACCACTTGCATCAACATATGTGGAAGGTTTTGAGATCAAAATTATATGGATTTGTCCTATTAATGGCCATCACACATTTTTAAACTGATCTCCCTGCTGCAAAAAGGCCATTCACAGAAGTGTGTTCTGCTTGTGATGGGAGCATTGATCCCTGGGGTCAAACTTTGATCCCTGGGATCAAACTTTGTGCACCCTGGGATCCATTGGTGTGTACAGTTCAAGAGTTAAAATGCTTAGTCTTGTGTCATAAATACATATCTTGGGGTATTTTAGGTGAGTCTGGGAGGGCTTATCTAAAAACTACCAGGCCTTGATTCCTATGTCTGTTGCATAGTTATGTGCTTGACTTTTTTTTTTGAGCCAACTCATCATGTTTAGAAGTTAGAAAAATAAGCTGGAAAGGCTTTGTAGCTTTCTTATGCCCTAGCAAGTTGAACTTGGTTCAGGGAGGGTCTAGTGGCAGCTGTAAACCATTGAGAAGAGAGAGTAAGGCCTATAAGGCTGAGAAGGAGACATAAGAAGGAAATATGTCCTCTTTTGAGGAGCAGTGAACTATTAGATATGTTCAGCTACAATTAGATATGTTTGTGGCATTCTGCTCATTCTGTTTTACTTGCTTTGATTTATTTTGCTTTGCTAACCTTCCCCTTTTTTGCCTCTTCAGCATGTTCTTTACAAAGCTTTTTACAAAGTAGAAGTGGAACCTGACCAAAGCCGGGGATGATTTACCTTCCAAGTCTCCATGTTTCATAAGAATAAACTACAAGCAGAGAGTTTTTTTCTTTTTGTCATTTGACTTTTCATGCTCCTGGAGTAGAACACTGTTTCAGAGCCCCAGATTTTAGTTTTGGGATCTGGAAACAGATTTGTCCTCCGAATTCAAGTACAGGATTCAACTCTGAGTGAGGTAGAAATAATTACACACAACACATCTTTTTAAGATGGTTCTGAAAGTTGAGGAGATTTGTGCTGTCTGCATAGTTACAAGTCCATGTACTCAAAAAGCCCAATGATGAGTTTAAAAAAAGTCCTTGAGCAACAG